TAGGTGAAAAATTATTTTTGATTAATTCTTCTTCAGGCCCATACAATAATATACATTAGGGTTTGGTTTGTTGCATGAGTATATGCGGGTGCTCTCCGAGCTGGCTGATTTGGTTGCAGACGTTTCATCGTCAGGCTAGACGACATCATCAGTGCGATCTATGCGAGCCACTTGCAGATCCAGTTGATTATTGATCACTTGATTCGAACGTCAGGAGTCTATTGGTCCACGTGAGCTGAACGTGTAGTCAACTCTTGCGTACTATTGGCTAGAGTCCGCCTGAACACCCGCATACCCTCATCCGCATCCAGAGCTACAAATGTTCTCACGGATTTCTAAGGTTTGCTGCAGTCCTCAGTATAACAAAGAAACAATCGATCAGAAAATTTAACTTGTGATCATGATGGCAGTCAGCTGAACACATGACTGAAGTCAGGTGGAGTTGCGGAGTACCATTACTTCCTTCGCCGCTGGTGGTTGGCCAGGAAAGTTGTAGTGTTCGTATCAGCTTCTTCTGGACACCCAAGTCCGAATTTGTTAGGCGTATGTATACTGCCTTAGTGGCGGCAAGTAGGCTTGCTCTTACACGATGCTTTTGCCTTGGTGATATTTTATAGAGCATCGGAAAGGATGTTCATTTGTTTATGTGGTGGCCTGTGTTGATTAGATGATTTGTAATCGAGCTGAAGTTTGTCCTATTCTCGCGATTGTACAGCCAACCTGGGAGGTGTTCCTTAATTCCCTTACCTAAATACCTGGTCGTCCGTCCAATGTACCTGGCCCCGCACGATCAGGGGAACCGATGGATTAACATTGATTGGGGATGATCAGGCACTCGTTATTTGAAGCTCAGAACTAGTAAAGGTTTGCTCGTAAAAATCACATTCAGCTGAGCCGCAGTAAAGATCTTTTTGGAGCTTTGCTGTAGTCGATGGGTGCATGTCTCAGCCGCACTACTTCCTTTGAATGGAAGTGTCAGTTAAAGCTGTTTCTTTACAACGGTTTGTTTTGATACTTTTGGATTGTATCGCCTCGTATGGGTCTCGAGAATTCGCTCCGGATATCCATTTTCGAAAAGCGTTTCTTTTATTCGTACGAGTTCGGCTTTCATGGCGTCTTCGCTGCAGATTTTGTATGCTCGGTCGGTTAGTATTCGCACTAGCGTTCTTGTTTAGTTGAGTGGGGCGAAACTTTGAAAGTTCATGTATTGTCCCGTCCAATATGGTTTCCTGTATCCTTTTATTTGGATTGATCCAACGGTTCTTCCGATAAGACACGTTCAAAAAATTCATTTGGTCGTTGTTTTCTACCTCAGCTGTAAATGCGACATTAGGGTACGCATTGTTGAAACAGTCGATTATATCCTGGGGTTTGGTGGTCCGATCACTTATTCAAAATATATCCCCAGACTCTCTGCAAAATACCACAAAGGCAAAACCATGGTGTAAGATCAAGTCTACTTGCCACCGCCGAGGCAGTATGCATACGCCTAACAAATCCGGACTTGTGTGTCTGGAAGAAACTGATACAACGAGGCTGGACCTTACCGTGGTGTGATGGTTTGTGTGGCTCAGCGATCCATTGAGCTATGCTGGGTGGTGCTTTTGCACCTTCAGAGTCACTCATACCAGATTTGTCAATGGTTAGAGGCCAGACAAACTCAACCTCCTGATCCTCCAGGTTGGGGGTTGGAATGAGGGTGGCACCTTATTCCTTAAAACGGACTCCTTGTAGCCCAACGGCAAACGCTCTGCCTTGTGGTCAGGTTTTAGAACCAAAGTCTTTGGTTGAGAACCCTAATCGCCCTGCTGTCAAGACCTGGGCAACCTGAGAGTATCCTGTCCACGCAATACTAGGAATCTTTCCTCAAACAATTTCTTGAACTTCTGGCCACCGCAGAGGATAATCAACGGTGCCCTATCTGCTGCATCGAGCAGGGTGGATAGGGGTTTGGATGCTACTGCTCAAGCCTTCCCGTCTTCTTATTCCACCTCTTACGCTTTTTCTGTCTTACCGTCCCATTCCAACTTCACTTTCGTCCCCCAGTTTTCAACCCCAGATTCTTGGCCCTCCAATAACATGCTTTTTTAGACATTTATCTTCTAATTGCAACTCACATGTGAAAGCGGAGCGTCACTCCTCTCCTGTCAACAAGCCCATGTTTAACCAAGCGGTCCACGCCAGTTCATCGGCTTCCATTTGGAGCCCTCGATCATCCTTCAAATTGGCATGTCTCAATGTACGCACATTACTACAGATCGGTCAACAGGCAGCGCTCGCCCGAACATTGGAAACAATCTCGATCGATATCTGCTGCTTACCAGAGACCCGCCTGCAAGACTCGAGTTCTGTGCTCACTCTGCGATCCCCTTCAGGTGACGCAAGCAATATTTCCTCTTTGCGCCTTTCAGGTGATGATGCAGCTTCGAGCACCGGCCAAGCTGTTGTTGACATTGCCCTGAGTCCCCGGGCTGAAGCTACTCTGGTTGATTGGATTCCAATCAGTAGCCGGAGGTGTGCGGTCCGATTGGCTGGCTCGTTTAAAGCTTCGAAGTCGCACGGGACTAATAGGTGTCTACTCCTTATTGCTGCCTATGCACTCACAAACTGTAGCGACGATTCGGTAAAGAATGACTTCTACTGCCAACTGACTCAGCTCCTTCGCCACAGAATAAACACGGACACAGTTGTGCTTGCTGGGGATTTGAACGCGCAAGTTGGAAAGTTGTCCACTGATGAAATGCATCTGGCCGGTCAGCACGGTGTACGCTTCCTTAATGATAACGGTGAGTGGTTACTTCATTTGTGTGAAGATGCTCGCTTATTTCTTGTGACCACTAACTTCTGACACAGCACCCGCGGGAGAGTGACTTGGCGTCCACCATCCTCGATCCAGTCTTGGACGCAGGTCGACCACCTTGTTCTCAGTTACCGCTGGAGAGGCTGCGTCCAGAACTGTCGCTCTATTTGGAGCACATATGTGGACACCGATCATACACTATTATGTGCTGACATACGGATGCGTTTTGGCGGACGCCCACGACGAAGTTGGGAGCGTATTGACATCAGCCAACTGGCGAAGCCAGCTGTTCTGAATGCGTATCGAAGTACGTTGACGTGCGAGATGAGTAAGCGCTCACTGGAGACAATCGATGGTCACTGGTCACATATTCACCATACCTTACTAGCAGCAGGCAAATCCTCATGTGGTATATCTAATAGCCAACATGGACATTGGGTCTCTTCGCAGTCTCTGGAACTTATCGACGCTCGTCGGCATATCCCGGCTGGAAGCGAACACAACGAAACTCGCAAAGAGCTCCGGGCAAGACTCCGTGCTAGCCTGAACAGAGACCGCAAATCCTGGTGGTCTCATCGTGTGTCGGAGATGGAAGTGGCCGCTGCCGTTGGTAACCATTGTAAGTCAGTCCGTCTGATACGGGAAACGGGCATCAGGAGACCTGTTGTTACTGAAACTATACGTGACGAGAGTGGACAGCCTATCCACAACTTGTCAAAACGTTTGGAGCTTTTGGCTGAGCAATTTGAAAAGCAGTTTAATCGGCTAGAATTGTTCGATTCTTCGCCGGCCAGTGATCGCCCTGCTCCGTGGGCTCTCCCTTTGGATTCACCATCTCGCTCAGAAGCCGAACATGAGATCGGACTGTTGAAGTTGAACAAAGCCGCGGAACCAAATGAACTTCTTCCCTTCCTCTTCAAATTCGGAGGCTCTACACTTGTTGATGCTTTAAATGGATTAATAGTGAAACTGTGGGAGCAGGAGACTGTCACAACCGACTGGAGCCTCTCCGTTATTGTCCCCATCTTCAAAGGATGCACGCATTCGGAATGCGGTAATCATAGAGGAATCAGTCTAATCTCCATCGTCTCCAAATTACTCGCCTCCATACTTCTTCACAGACTGACTGGCGCTCGTGAAAGCCAGATTCGTGAGGAGCAAGCCGGGTTTCGTCGTGGTCGTGGCTACATCGACCACATCTTCACCTTGCGTCAGCTGTTGGAGCACCGTCATATACTGGCGCCCCACCCTAGTCGTGTTCCTCGACATCAAAGGCGCCTTTGATTCGGTTGATCGATGTGTCCTTTGGAATTGTCTACTCAGGAAAGGTGTGCCCGAGAAATATGTAAATATTATCCGAGCATTATACGCTCGTAGCACGGGCAGAGTGAGTGCTTATGGCAAGCTGTCACCATCCTTCAGTATCTCCAGCGGTATGAGACAAGTA